TCGCCTTGTGGTTAGCTTGCTGGATTGTTGATGCGAGGGTCCATGGTTTGCGTCCCGTTACTGCAAAAAAATGCTTTCCGCACTTTGACGCATTTGATGTTTTATATAAGTGGCGGTTAAATTTCACTGTTCAATTACATTAGCCCAAGATTTGGCGGTAGACGTTGTTGATTAGCTACCTTTCCTCTGTTCTATCAGCCCCCCAGTGGCACAGCGGTATGTCTGCGGACTTACAACGCTAGAAACCGGGTTTCGATACCCGTGGTGGGCAGAGCACAGATAGCCCGTTGTGTAGCTTTGTGCTTAATTAGAAACAACCTGTTCTATCAGTTCAAAATTAGGTATGTCTGCTGACTTCCAACGTTAGAATTCGGGTTTCGGTACCCGTGTTGAGCAGGAAACAGATAGCCCATTCTGTAGCTTTGTGCTTAGCTTCAAACAAACCAAACCTTATATAGCTTTGCGCGAATATCCGAAACAATAAAACAAACAAACCATCACATATTAGATTGGTGGTGGTGGTGGTGGTGGTGGTGGTGGTTATTTGTTTTAGTGCAAAGTCATATTAGTCTATCTACTGTGTCCACTGCGGCAAACTGAACCCCCGGATTTTTATGTTGTAAGTCCTTAAACTTACCGCTGTCCCACCTGGGGACCCCTTTTAGAAATGACTAAAACTCATAGTGTTTTCTATATCAACATTTTGTTAAATATCAAGTTTACTGGATTAGGAAAATCATGTATAGAAATGTAAAATAATGTTGTATTCCCTCATGACAATGTAATAAAAACTACAGTGAAATAATATTCGTGTTATCACTGAAAATAATTCATCTACTTTGCAAATTTCTGAATATTTCGATATTTTAATGAAAATAACCAGATTCTCGAGTTTGCGAATCTCCTCGTACTTGCTTCTTTAAGTGAAAAAATGCATCACTGTTAACTGTATCAAAATAATAAAATAAAGATAAAAAAAATGAACGTAATGGTATTAACATATCTGATAGACTTATTTCTTCAACTTTTTTTAAAGATTTGATGGTAATCATTTTATCATAATATATATTTATTTTGGTAGTTAGTTTGTATGCTGTGTAATTTATTTTCAAAACTATTATCATTATTTTAATGTCAAGAACTTTTCTTGAATATAAATTCATAAAGAACAAAGTCCATACGAACTGTCTTGAGGTAATGCTGTTAAGATACGTAAAAAACGCCATCTGAAATGTGTCAATTTAATATTAAAAAAAAAAAAAAACAATTTGGTTAATTTAACTGGAAACTCGTCTGTCGTCATTTTTGACTATTTGCACAATTCTACTGACGATAATACAAAGACCTGTTTTTTTGTTTTTTTTAACATCTCAAGTGTGACTACTTAAAAAGCCAGATAGAAATAGGAATTGGTCACCTGGTTTTCCTTTTTAAAGACCCATATATAAGACTGGTTTGAGTTGCTATTGTTATTTAATGACGGTTTTAATCTGGAATAAACAAAATTACTCTTGTGACGAGATAAATCAGAAATAATACTTTTAAAGAAATACATTTTTCAAAAAGCATATCAGAATCCCTCGTAAAAACGATTGTTTTAGGATTAAAGTGCAACATAATAGAATAAAATATCATCCATTCTGAAAATAAAAATGCCTGATCAGTTTTTAATGAATTTTCCTCAATTTTTTCCGTATTTCGACAACAAAGGGAGTTTGGATAAAGTTCCGAATTCGCGTATTCTAAGCAAGTATTGTATAAATTCCTCTACCAATAATTCTAATAGTTTAAGCTCTGGATGCTATAGTTTTACAAACTCTAAATGTGTGGCAAAGTTAATGATAGTTCTAATTATATGCGTAGCCTACACGAGGGACGAAGAGAGACAATATTATATTTTTTTCTATAGGCTAAATACTTACGAATTCATACGATTCAGCGTAAACCAAGAGTCATAATTTTCTTACAAAGCACACAACAACCATCTTTCACCCACACACATGTACACATACTTTTAAAAAGAAATTCATCCTAATTGATTGTCAGCAATGACTTTGATACTCTACACTAACTGACACTGAGCGTAATCTAGTAGTTAGTGTGACGAGTTGCGTGTCGAAAAGCCCAAGGTTCAAGCTACGATATACTATTCAATGCATTTCGCAGTTTCAGATTTTGATTCGTTAAGTCAATCTTGCTACTTGGTTAAGAGCAACAGCACAGGCGGCAAATGTTGCTGACTGGTTGACCTTCCTCTGGTCAGTATTAAATTAGCATGGCTATGCCCGAACCTTGAGGTTTTTGATTTGGTCACTTTCTCTGTGTTTGTCGCATAAGGTGCAATTCGGGCTGAAAATACTAAATACCTAACAATTTACATCGAAAGCTTAATTAATCCTAAATGTCAGATGGTAAAAGCCTAACTAATCCCAAGTATCTTTTAATGATGCCGTAACAGAAATGTCAGAAGTTGATGGTTCTACTAGTTCAAGTTCATTAGGCTGAGGTGTTTGATAATTAGGCTTTCTAATTAGTGCCAAGTTTATAACAACTAGCATTGGTGTCGTTACACTTACACACACATAAAGAGACCATAAATGTAAAAGTAGACAAAATATTAAATCCTTAAACCACTATAAGTTTATAACCTTATGTATGTGTTTACCCAGAAGAAAGCGGAAGCTCAAAACTTATATACTGAAATGGATATATATTTATACAGGGTCTGTTTGTTTGTTTGTTTGGAATTTCGCGCAAAGCTACACGAGGGCTATCTGCGCTAGCCGTCCCTAATTTAACAGTGTAAGACTAGAGGGAAGACGGCTAGTCATCACCACCCACCGCCAACTCTTGGGCTACTCTTTCACCAACGAATAGTGGGATTGACCGTCACATTATAATGCCCCCACGGCTGAAAGGGCGAACATATTTGGTGCGACGGGGATTCGAACCCGCGACCCTCAGATTGCGAGTCGAGCGCCCTAACCACCTGGCCATGCCGGGCCTATACAGGGTCTCCATTCAAATATAGTATGGTGATAAAAGATAACTTACTGACTGTTAGACTGTTTATTGCATTTTCTTTTTACAATGGATCCTGCTCCAGTGGCTCTGCTGTAAGCTTGGGAGCTTATAAGGCTAAAATTCACGGTCCGATCTCTGCGATGGGCACAACACAAATAGCTCATTATGCAACTTTGCTCTTAACAACAAACAAATGATCTCGTGACCCGATCCTTGACACCCAGATAAATAGTTTGATCATAACAGCAGGAATCATTTGACGTCTGATAACGATTGCTCTGCTAGTCCTTTGAGTTTAATATCGATGGCTCTACTAATCGTAAGTTAGTGATAGCAACGGCTCTAGACAGTGGTCTATTTCTACTATTAGATAGCCATAATCCCACAAAATTCAACTGTCAGGTAACAATGAGTTTATATAAGCCTGTCGTATGTGTTTGATACAATGGCATCGCTTGCTCTACCATTTTCAGTAATAATTGGTAGCTACAGCTTTACTAAGTATAAAGTGACCATGGCTACTTTTGTGATAGTAATGACTCAATACTTACTGAAGAAGAAAAACAAGTCATTCTTTTGTAATGAAACTTATCAGTATAATGTTAATCACTGAACCTATTTAACTCTTAAAGTCTATCACAAAATATAATTTGTCGTTAAACAGACTCCTCTCCTCCTAAAAATAATTATAATTTCAAAGTTTACTTATTCAAAATTTGAAAAAGAAAAATCGTCAGTTTCCAATGTAAAGTTCAATTCTAGTTGTAATGTGCTTAAAAGTGATAAAACCGACAGATATGCAATAGCTAATGAACTTTATCTAACGGAGTTACCTGATGTTAAAAGTCTTAAAACTTCTCACCAGAGGACTGCTTTCACTATGCCAATGATTATTTTATGAATACCAACACAAAATTACTTTTAAAAAAGTAAGATCGTTAAAATCCTATTAAGGAAATGACCTTCTTGCAAGAATATAAATTTCAAGTAATATGCACAGTCACGGAAACTGTTCACAGGCTGCTCAGTTCAAGTGTTGATATTTCAGTATCTACTAGAAATTTTAGGCACCAAAAAGTGGTCATTTCACAAAATCTGTTCGCTTACATTAAGGTAATTTTAAGATAGAGCTCAAATGATCTTGTTATGTATTATAGAAAAGTATATTTTTAATTACTAAAACTTTTTGTTAAAGGAGATCTCAATTTATTTGTTTTGTTTTAGCGCAAAGCTGCACAATGTTATGTTCGCCGTTTGTATCGAACATCGAATTCTAGCGTTGTAAGTCCTCAATGCTTAACTCTGAGCCACCAAGGGACGACGTTATAAATACTTCCATTCTCTTTTGTTTGCTATTTTTAATTTGTTTATTTTTCTAGTCAATTCTAATGTTTTAACTCCTGATATAAATTTAGATAAGTTGATAATTGTGCGTGTCTTTTACTGAGAAACCAAAAGTTCGAGTATTTATAACGCATAAATATTCTGGAATCGATACTACAATGAGCACAACACAGTTAGCCCATTATACAACTTTACGCTTAAAACAAAACAAATAATCTATAAAAAATTCCTCTTTCTTAAATATGGAGCTAAATATTGTTTTCAAATATCTTCAGTGCCTTTTATCATTCTTATAAGAAAGGTGTGTGTACCATTACTGAAAACTTAAAATTTCTGAAAATGATGTATAAACTGTTAAATAACGTTTCACAATTGTGTATCAGATTCAATTCAACTTAGGAATAAAATATTTTCCCTATATCAACACTAACTTACGGTTTCAGAGGTATTTAATGCTTATATTGTGTCACAGTAATTATCACTTTCAATTGGAAATATTAATTAACACTATGCCCAGACTACATCAACTATTGTATGTTTATCATCAAAGTGAATGACATTGAAAACAAATAAAAATAAATGTAAAGAAGGTTTTATAATGTGTAACTTTGAACTTATACTTTATCACACAGGTGTTACAGAATCATTGTTATTAAGATGAAGCCAGGGGCACATCTTTCTTCACTCCCTCCAGAACCAAGTTCAATTGAACTATCTACATACAGAATAGTCCACTGGGAGAATGGTCATGGAGCTTATCTCGCAGAGGCGTTCACAAGGTGTGTCAGAAGTTCTTTAAAAAGTATTTGTTCACAGGAAATATGGAAATAATAACTTAAAAGTGAATTATGTCAATAAAAAGTTTAACTCTTTTTAATTTTGCATACATTCGTTAAAAATTGTTAAGGTAGAACACCATGATTGTCAAAACCCGGCATCTAGTGGCAATACTTGAAATCACTTTTTATTTTCATTTATCAAGTGAGCATTTCGTCAATGAGATTATCATAGGAGATGGCCGTTACAGCATCTGTGATAAATATCCGAATCACTCCACTAGAGGCGAAGGGCAGTCTAAAAGAGCAACATTACAAGGAGAAGTTCAACAAACTACAGCTGAATATGAAAGTATTTACGATGGTGAACTCTCTCCCAGCACAAACTACACAGGTTATGTTGAGTTGCAAATCACTGGTCCGAATGGAACGGTATGCAAGTTGTAATATTACATTTCTTTAAAAAATAAAATGCTTAATAATTTTTATCTTCAATGTGTATTTTTCTATCTTATACGTTAAAGTATTTGAAGAAACACAATGTCTTTTCATGTAGAATTTATATAAAAGTTGCTAATAAGTATTAAAATAATATTGTTTAATTAACTGCTAAACTTCTTTTAATACCTTATATTTTGTCTTTACTGTAAGTTCACAAATTCACAATGCTAAATCTGGGGTTCGACTGCCAGCGGTGGACAGAACGCAAATAGTCCAGTCTGTAGCTATTCGCTAAAACAAACAAAAGTATTTAATTTTTAGTTGTTTTTTTTATTTAAATACACACACATACATATATATAACGCAAATAGATAGTCATGTTGTATGTTCTAGCTACTAGACGGTAGAAAATTAGGAAATTAGTTGGGTAATGGGCTAGTTTTGTTGAAGCTCCATTTTTGTAGAAAGTAAATGTCATAACGAATTCTGACGTTCTTGATAAAGTACACAGTTCTATCTTAATTCCCTGTTATTCTAATTTTAGAAATAGTTTTATTTTACTTAGTTGTGATTCTTTGATCTTTCTAAACGTTAGATCTGTTGTAGAAAAATATGTTTATCGACTCGTAAAAATAATATAAGGATCTATACTATTATTCTCCTTGTTTGTATGTACCACCGTTACGCTTTCTTACCGAGAACCTGCTGCATAAGCATACGTAGTTAGAATGTTTCCCCAAGAAAAATCGCGCATGCGCATTATTCATTCGACGACAAACAGTCTGCCTGCGGCAGAGAGCTGCAAAGCGAATGAACAAATCACTACAATTGCTGTATGAAACAAGAAGTAACAACAACAACAAAAATATACTTTGCTAACCATTTTGTACAACAGAATATTAAAAACTTATCAAAGTTTTTAAAAAAGGTTTGACTTTAGGTCGTAGAATAACATTATAAGTTTATTTATCGATAGTATTAAGTACAGTAAAGTTTAGTCCTTACTAAACTAAAGTAAAAAAAAAAACGTACATAGGTTACAGTGTTAATTTATCTCTTTATCGAACTTAGGCCTAACATAAGTTAAAGTTTTATGAAGTACGGCCTATATACAAGTGGATTTACACATTTCGTATTGTGCTATAAATGTTATATGTAAAGAAGTGCTGTTACGATAAAGATACTAATTTGGCCGGAAATGTTTTGCTAGTCAGTAATAATAACTTCAACTACTTACATTAATCTTATGATTCATAAAAATTAAAATTAAGACACTAATAAAATTAAATTGTTACATCTTATACTGTATATGAGACCGGTTTACTCTTTTTTTTTTTAATTTGTAAATCAGTGCTATTATTAAATTACTAATTATTTGATGGATGGGTGGTCACTGACGTTGCGAGTGCAACAGTGTAAGAGTGTTATTCGTGTGAGTGCACGCACAAATGTTTTGAACATCTACCCTGAATACTTCCGTACTCGATCTTATTAAATTATAAGTATACCCATTATGTTATCATTTATCTTTGACTTCTGTGTTGCATTGTTATTGTTACTTGTAATTTATATAGGTAGGTCTAACTCTAAACAAAAGTTAGCGCTAAAACATTATACATTAATCTCCGCACAACTTGTGCAGAGTTAACTTACATTAGTTACAGATGTAGTACTATTAGAACAGTACCACACATTAACAGTCACAAGGAGTTATGGTTAAATCATAAAACTTAAAAGTAATACATGCGAATTCTAATTTCATTGTCTAGTGTGGTTTGATATCTAAATACTACAATTTGTAGTAATAATACTAATATATGTCATTACTATAATTTATCTGTAGTACAAATAAATTTCAGTAATGGCATATATTACTATTAGAGAGTTGGCATGTGCCTCAGGTTTGGAGAGTTTCTGATGTTACTCATAATCATATTTTTAAAGGGTGATAAGAGTATATCTTAACTAATCTTTTGCAGGGTATATTATCTAAATCTTTTTTCTTTTCTTTTTTACCTTAAGTACATCAAGTCAATACCCTTTTCTTTGTCCAGATAATAAGTAACATCCTTGAAAAAGTTAATATGTCAGTAAGGCAAAATTTCTGTCATTTAAAACAAACCTTCTGAGTGGGTAAGCCACATGAAAAGATTACTTTTCAAATGTAAAGAATATTCTAAACATTCTGTATTTTTAGTTGTATTGAGTAATGTTTTGAGGTAAATGTGTGTGATTGAATAAATTTAGTATATAACACATTGCAGGTTATTTTAAAGTTTGATTAGTAAAGTAGGATGCATTAATATTAGTGTTTATATTCAGATCTAAGTAGGTAATTGGCTTGCTTCACCTAAGCAAAGAGCGATTGTAAATAAACATCTTGCTGAAGATTTTTGCAAAGTGTTCAAATGTGGTAAAAAAAAGCTACTGTATTACTTGATTCCAGGTATAGAAACTTTTTATCTTAAGAGTAAGGATGCTGTTATTGCTTTGAATAAATTTTTCTAAAGAGAAATAAAATGTTGAGTTGTGTATTTACTATAGTTTTAAAGCTATAAGTTTGAGAAAGTTAGATAACTTCTTAAACAGTAAGATTTCCTAATTCTGTAATCTTACTAATATTCTGAAGAAAAGATTCTGTTGAAAATACTTCTCTTATTCATTAAAACCTTGGCAGTCTGAAAGATTGGGCCAGAACATGGTAAATGAACTTCAATATTGACAATTGTAAAGTTTCACTTCAATTATAGTAGTTTGAAAAGAACATTCTGTGTGAAAGGAGCATTGGTGTTGAGGGGAAAAAAACTGAAGGATTTTAGGTGAGATTATTGATGAAATCCAGAAGCTTTTAGTTGATTGCTTGGCTGTGGTGAAAAGAGCAAATAATACTTGGTTCTCTTTATAGGAACTTAGATTTAAAAGCCAGAAAGTCAATGTAACCTTGAATATGACAGGTGAGACCTCGTTTAAACCAAATACTGTGTACATTTTCAGTCTCTTTCCTGCAGAAAAGATATTAGCAATGCAACAATTCAGAAAAAAGCTGTTAGAATGATACCATAAAACTCTGAGAAAAAGCTTAAAGTTTTTGTTTTACTTTCTCTGGTTTTGGTTTGTTTTCTTGTTCATACAATGTTAATAATGTGATATTAACTTAATGTATTATGATTCAGTATCATTGTTTTACTGTGTGATAAGGCATAATGCTTATACAAAACACTTCTCCATGTATTAGTAAGTTGATTGAACACTGAGAATTTACTGTAGAATTTAAACTTGTTTTTATTTATTATTGTGTTATATGAGAGTTGTACATGGTAACTATAACAAAAGTTTCATAGTTCATATCTCACAAATGTTATGTCATAAGAAAGTGAAATTACACATTTGTGGTAAGGGTATCATGGAGATACAAATGTCACAGTGGTCGCATGTTGCCACCAGGGACACCATACTGATCTAATTTTGACCAATCACAGCAACTGTTCGAAGTGTGCTCCTTCAACATGCATAATATATTGCATCCATGTGACAATTGACATTACAGCAATAATGAGCATCTCATCTGGAATGTTGACCACTTCCAGGACAATTCCTGTAAAATGCAGTTGAGTTGAGTGATTTAATCGATATAATCAGTTACCTATGAACGTTGATTAGTATCGCATAAACTAATAGATTAATTGAAAATATGATTAAGTTGATTAATTAGTGTTTCCAGTTATTACCATTTTTGAGTATTGCAAAAATCAAACTTCTGATTATTTCAATTGTCATTAAAATAATCAACTAATCAAAATTAGTGCTTCCAATTATTACAGCTTTTGATTAGTCCAACAATTAATTGAAATTATGATTAAATTGACTGGATATCCAATTACAACTATTTTTGATTATTCCAACTATCCAAGTAATTAAAATACTGCAACCAAACTTATTTATCATATCTTTGTTATTGCACAGCTACCAAGACTGTAACCAATTTTGAACTGAATGGGGCCATCAATTGGTCAACTACTATACCATGCAGCATTGACTGTGGAGGTTTACAGTCTATTTGCTGATGGTTCTTTAACACTTAAAAGTGGTCCAACAACAAAGTTGGCCATGAAAATACACCATCATACTGCATCATGGAAGTATGTAGGAAATATTAGATGTGGATTAGTTTCAAACTAAATTATGCAGTTGCATGTGTTAACACAGAAGGGGTGACATGCACTTTATCATTTCAAAAGGTATTAGCAGGCCATTGGTTATTGAATTCCAGTCTTATTAAGGAATGCAACACATCAGGTTCAATCTGTCTTCTTCAGTGCTTGAATATGATGCAGCTAATAAGGAAATATTTCCAGAGTTGATCAGAAAGCCTTAAAAACAGTTGAAATTGACAAAACCAAACCACTTGGTGATGTAACATGCACTATTGAACTCAAGCTGGCTTGTTCTGCTACAGTATGGCTGACCTTAGCAGTGCTTCCAGTAAGTATCTCTTGTCTGCCTGTATGAGTCTTATAATGAATGCAACCTGTCTCCTTATGAATTTGCTCACGGCAACAATGGAAGGAAGCCCTCTCCAGATGCTGTGCACATTACAGTATTCTATTAGAACATTCTCAGCATTTCATTCTTTGGTGTTATAACATTTTACTACTACCTCACTCTATACACATGTCAGTTGAGTGAATTACATCATGATCGACAGGCCCATTTATACCCCTTGAGTCAATATGTAGAGCAACCAACACACACTGGACTTATTCTCGTGATTTGATGCATTATCAAAAAAATCTCACATTTTGGTCAAATTAACAGCTTTCTGTAATGTACTATGGTTGTTAAACTGGCTGGTTCCAGGTCAAATTCAGCATCAAATTGATCCAGGAAATGCACAAGATTACACCATTTTTTTTCATTTGATAAAAGTTTTATGGAGGAGCATGTCCTAAAATCCCCTACAAAAAAATGACCACATTCAGTGCTTATAGCACTTTAATTTGTTGTAAAATTTCACAATGTCTCACTCAAGCAAATTTTTAAAGGTGCAGCCCTGCAACATGTGATAATGGGCATTTCTGTCAGCATGATAAATTTAATATTACTGTGTAATTTCATCTTCTTATGCCATACCATTTGTGAGATACAATGTGCTGAACTGTAAAACTTTCTCTGTAATTGCTGTATATTACTGTGAGTCAATGATAGATCTAGGCAGTTAGTGGAATTTGTTAATCAATTAATTATAGGGCTCATTAATCAGTTACATTCAACTGATTGATTATTCTCAGGAAACGTGGATGGTTGGAATAATCAGTAATCAGAAACAATACTTTCAGTTAGTGCAATGTTTTCTTAAATCATGACACTAATCATTCAGCTTAACAACCTTGAATTATTGAAAAACAATCATTAGAAATACTAACGGAAATATTTGGAATGATTAAAAACAGTAATAATTGAAAATGCTAATATTGATTACTTGGTTATTTTCATGACATTCATGTATTTAATCATAATTTTGATTAAATGATTATTTTACATAACCCAAATTGATGTAATTGATGCTAATAGGTAATCAATTAATTGGAATAACTGCTCAGGTCTAGTCAGTGATAAGTGCACTTTTTTAGAGCATAAAAACTGTTTGTTTTTTAAATACATTTACTAAAAGATGGCTATAAGTTTAGAACTTACAGCAGTGGACTTATGAATACCTTTATCATGTAAGAAAAAAAAATGCACACAAAATGTTTTTGTCAATATATTGAGTACAGAGGAGGCTAACTTTTATGGAAATCTGAAATATATTGTGGACAGTTTTGCATACACAGTATTATCCAGATTTTACATTGTTCAACAAAAGTTTAATCTACAATAGAACTTGAAGCTAATAGCTAGTGTTCATGTGTTTCCTGAAATTATTTCTTTAGTGTAATTTTCACTAACATTGTTGGTTTGAATGTCTAATACACTTTGTTTTATTATTATTAAACTTTTATTATGGAAATTGTTTTCCATTGTCTAGCTTAGTATATTGATTTAAGAGTAATCTAAAGTGGCTGAACCTTGTGGGATATTAGTGAGTTTACAGCTGAAAATATCATTAACAGCAAGGGTATCCAACTGATGAAACAAGGCATTCTAATCTTTATGAATAAAAACATAAGAAACACATTTAATTAGCTAAACTAATTATCATGTTTATTTTTATTTCTACTTTAAGTATGTAGCTTTCCCTGATCAGAACTTAATTCCAAAAGTTGATTACATACTGAAGTCTAATTGAATATTTGTAGGTCCATGGTACATGTATTTATATATATTAGTTTCTTGTGTCATAATAAAATCCTAAATAATCAGATGTTGAAATCATAATCCTTATTTTTATGAACCATTGTTCTTGTACACAATATTTTTCTAAATGTCTTAGATAGAATTGATGTTTACACTATACATGTAATTCCATACATCTTCATCTGTCTCTAATATTAGTGTTGATCTTGTTCTTTTTGCTTCTAACCTTTTATTAACTTTTGTTAAACACAAATTGAATTTTTGTAAATAAGAATATGCTTCTGTGTTTACCGGTTTTGATTGGTTGAGGTTAGACTGATAGAAGAAACTTTTATTTCAGGTGCTGTCCAAACAAAGTCCTTATTTCAGCCTAATAGAAACTGGTATGTTTCAGCAAACTGTAGTAAAATCTTCAGTTATTAAATACAGTAGTTATATAAAGTAACATGTTGTATCAAGATGCTTTTTGTGGAATTGATGTTTATGAGTTTTCATTGAACTGTAAAACAATCATTAGTTGATGTATTATTTTATGCACGATTCCTTGTGGAACTACATTTATTCTTCCAATCTCATCTTTTGTGAAAATGCATAAGAAAACATAAATGTAGAAATAAAATAAATATGCACAAGGGTGAATCAACTCTGAAAACAACAATCTTAAAAATATTTGTTGTTAACTGCTCTGAGCAAGGTAGAGAGATTTTGCCAATACTGAGAACAAAAGTTTCTGTTTGTATCGCTGATACTTGCCAGATATAAATTAAAACTTTTATTACAATAAAAATAGGGTTTCACCTTAGGGGTTTTTGTAGATTAAGTACTTCTTTATAAGACTAATGTAAAGTTATTAGAATTAAATAATTTATATAGCTTAATATGAGTGCAGTGGAGGAAAAATTAATTTGAAACTATAAAAAAATCTTACACTGGGCAACAGGAAACATGATTTTGTTTGAATTTACTTACTGATTACCAGTATATATTTTTTTATAAATTACAATTCTTACAGTAAGGAAGAATATTTTGTTAAACAGGTATGATGTTTTGATCACTGGTGTGATCATTGTGAAGTTGTGTGGTATTTTTTGGGTAAAACTGATTCTCTGACAAGTATCAGATAGATGGATCCACTACAAAGTGCAGATTCAATCAGAAAATATGGAGAGTGATTCTGAATCAGATAATTTTACTGAATCTTCCTAGTGTATGTAAAATAAGGAGACTGGACAGCATTTATCAAATAAACAATCTTTATTATTTTACAAACAAAATGAAAATGCAGCATAGTACTTGTGCACACAAAAGACTGTTTTTACTGGAGTGAGCTTAAGAATGATTGCACTGGTGATCAAAACATCATATCTGTTTGGAAAATATTCTTCCTTTCTGTAAAAGCTGTAATCTGTAAAAAAAAACAGAATACATTGTTCAATCTAATGTATTTTACAAAAAATATTGATTAATTAGTAAAACAATTATAAGACATAAGCCAATGATTGTTCAATTTATAACCAGGTTCTGATTTAATTGTCAGTAAAATAAAATTATTAATTTTGGTTTTAACTAGAATGATGTTTCCTTTTTTCCCAGATAACTTATTTCAATGAATATTAACTATTTTGACTTTTACAATATAAAAAACATTTTTCAACCCATAGATATCTAGTTATCTCTAATTTACCTAATTCTCCTGTTAGTATCTATATACTACTAAAACTCTGAGATTGTTTGTGTGTGTGCTTGTCTGTAATTAAATACAGCAAAAACGGCGCACAATACCGCCATATTTGTAATGAAATGAGAATAGAAACAGAATAAAACAAGTTTCGTTAAAATCGGGCTACGGTTACCGAGTTAAACCCGTTTTTGGGTCACTTTTATGAAAATGTCTAGATGATTTTAGGTACACTAGATGGCGCCACATATCTATATTAGTTTTCCACCTAATGAATCACTTTAAAATATCTTCTATACAACAATATATGCACAACAGAAATTAAATGATGAGATTAAAATGTGTTATAACGGCGCGTAGAAAGAACAACAATAAAATTGACCTACAATATTATTGACTATTTGCAAATAGTAACTATGGAGACGAGGTAATAAGATAAAAAGCAAGTCGAGAACAACAACAAAATTTTATAAACGAAAACCTCTCACCGAGCATTGGCTATTATATTA